CATCTATAGATAATGTATTTCTTCCTTTCCAACCTGTATGTTTTTTATTTTTTCTCATCTTACTCCATTTTCCAGGACCTAAAGTAGGTCTAATAGGACTGGTATGAGTGGACACCCTTCTTTTATTGCTTATTCTAGGGGAAGCATTTAGTCTTTTCACCATTAAGTACTATATTAGCTGTAGGATTTCACTGAGGAGTTGAGTTTTATTTTGCTGAGAGTTATCATCATGATTGGATATTGACTTTTTAAATTCTCTTTCTGCATCCTTTGAGATAGTCATTAGTTATTCATTTTCTTAGTTTATTAACAAAATAAATTATTTGAAATGTTGGACAAACCTTGTATGACTAGGATGGATAATCCACACTTGGTAATGATCATGATATGTTCCCCATTTTATAGTTACTGGATTGGGTGTTTGTTAATGTTTTAAGGATTATTGTCTGATTTATGAAGAATGTTAACTTGCAATTTCTTGTTTCATAATATTTTTGTGTGGCTTTGGTGTCATAGAACGAGCTGGGAAGTAGTACTCCTCCTTACTTTTTTGGAAAAGTTTGTGTAGAATTGATAAAATTTCTCCCTTGAGTGTGAAATTTTCTCCTTGAAACATGCACCAATGGAGCCGCCTTGGCCTAAGGCTTGCCTCATTGGGAAGATTCTGAACTATGAGGTTCAATTTATATGAGGTTGTCTGTTTCTTTGTTAGGGAGCTTTAAAGAAATTTGCCCGTTTTTGTGCAAATGTATAGATGTGAAATTGTTCAGAATATTCCTTTACTATTTTTAAAATTTCCATGTGGTCTGTATTGATCCCTTCCCCCTTAATCCTTATATCAGTTGTTTGACATTGTTAAAATTATATATACATACCCGTACACTCATATGTATATGTATATATTAGTTGTAGATGGACAGAATGCCTTTATTTAATTTATTTATTTTTATGTGGTGCTGAGGACTGAGACCAGGGCCTCACAGGTGCTAAGCAAGCACTCTACCACTGAGCCACAACATTAGCCCAAGTTGTTTGACTTTTGTCTCTCATTTTTTTTCCCTTGTTAAGACTGACTAAAGGTTTATCAATGTTATTGATCTTTTTGAAGAACCACATTTTGTTTTAATCAATTTTCTATTTTTCTTTCATTATTATTACTCCTGGCCTATATTTTTTCATTCTCTCTGCTAGTAGGTCCACTTTTAGCTGCAGTCCACAATTTTTGATATGTTGTCTTTTATTCTGTTCAGAGTATTTTATAATCACCCTTATGTTTCATTCTTTGGCTCATAGATTGTTTACATGTGTTCTTAAATTTCCAAATATTTGGGGTATTTTCCAGATAGCTTCTTGATAATGATTATGAAATAAGAAATCATACTTTGTATAAATTAATTTTTAAATTTTTGTTTCAGAAAATATTTGCTTTATAGTTGATCTTGTTCTTGTTCCACATGCATTTGAATAGTTCTGCTGCTGCTAGAGTGTTCTGTGAGTGTCAGTTAGGTCACCTTGGTGTCCCTATGCTCTGCATCCTTCCTGATGCTTCTGTCTAGTTGAGTTACTGAAAGGAATGTTGAATTTCCAAATGTAATTCTGGACTGGTATATTCTTTTAGTTCCTGCTTCTTTTATCTTGAGTTCTGTTATTAGAATATCTACCGGTTCAGCAAAGTTACTTCTTTTTTTTGTTGAATTTTTTTATCATCACCATCATCTTGCTCTTCATTGCTACTAATATCCTTTGTTCTATTTCCTTTCTATTATTTGCAACTCTTACTCCCTTTTTTCCTCTTGGATTAATTGAATATTTTTTTATGATTCATTTTACCTCCTGTTGGTTTATTATCTGTATCTTTTTGTTTTCACAGTTTTTTCATGAGATGTTTCTAGTGTTTGCAACGTCTACTTTCAACTTTTCAACCTCTCCTTTCAAAGACTATCCTGCCACTTCACATGTAGTGTGAGGAACTTAAAATTGGACACCTGGAACTCCACCTCTTTTGGTTCCCTTGTAGTCTTTTACTTTGCTCCTGTATTATAAACGTTGCCATGTGTTTTTGCTTTAAATGGTTTATACACACACACACACACACACACACATACACACACATTTATTTATTCAGGGGCAGTACTGGGGTTTGAACCCAGGGCCTTATATATGCTAGGCAAGCACTCTGTTATTGAGCTACATCTCCAGGCCCCACCTCCACCTTAAAATTTTATTTTAAGACAGTCTTGTTAAGTTGCTGAGCTTAATGATCTTCCTGTCTCAGCCTCCTGAGTAGCTATGATTACAGGCATGTGCCACCATGTGCATCACACAGAAGTTTGATAGAAGAGCTTTACTAGGTGGTTCAGGTGGTGTGTTAAGCAGAGCTTGACTAGCAAGTGAACATCACACCAGTAATTAAACTAACATATCCTAACACAAGGAAAAAGTAACAAGAGACAGGAATCAGCTACCCAGATCTGTACAGTGAGCCCTAAAGATCAGTTAAGGCAGATCTAGGGAGCAACCATGAGCTTTGGGACTGAGGGAAAGGACTCAGGGAAGAACAAATTTAGAGGAGGCCCCTCCTTGGAGAGCATGGTTACAGCTGACTGGGTGCCAAGAGAAGCTCCCTGAGGTACTGGGTGATGAGGCAACTTGCTGGACAGCACCTGTCACCAAGTCCTCTCTCACCAAGAACAGAGCTGCCTGATGATAGGACCAAGAGGAGAAACACTGGAGGTCTGTCACCTCCAGTGCCTTCTGCCCGTGTTTTGTGTGCTGTGAGTGGAGAAATGGGTTCCTTCAACACAGAGCTTGGCAAGGAGGGTGGGTTTGGAGCTGAGAGGCAAAAGGAACTATTGGTAGCTGGCTCTTCCAACTTCCATGAGTAGGGAATCTCTCTGCTGAGGTCTGACTCCATTAGAAACTGTGCAGAGATCAGTGGATGAGTGCTCCAGGCAAAGGGAATAGTGCAATAGCATAAACACAGAGGTCTGTCTAGGCAGCCTTGAAGCTGTGGTAAGAAAGTGAGTTCATTCTGGAGGACAACACAGCAGGGTTTATGCTGGGGACTACATGAGCTCACTCTGGTTGGGCTTGAAAACAGATCACAGTGGGAAGGGTAGATATCAGGGGCCAATAGAGAGCCCTGCAGTTTCCAGGCAGGAGGTAACTGTGACCTATCTTGGGCTTGAAGCAGTAGGGAAAGAAGAACAGGTGGGGGTTTGGGATTGTTAGCTTGAGGTGGAGCAGTTAGTATGGCCTGAGGAGAAGAGGAAGCCTGTGTGTTGAAGGCTCTGACCTGCTGTTTTGTAGAAATAGCTTCTCTTTCCATTGCCAACCTTAAGCTGTCCTGCCTGCTTGTCCTCCCTTCCCATGATGACATCACTCAGGCCACACTTCCCTTCTAGCCCCTTTTAATGTTGGAATTGTTTCCATTTCAAGTATTCAAGCCCAGTTCACTGAAAAACCCAACTCTTAATAATTCAGAGCTCTTCCCACAGCTGTAGGAAGTGAAGTCAGAGATCACCAGGGTAAAGGGCAGTGGTGTGTGTCCAGTATCTTTCTGCCTTATGCTGGCTTTAGGGTGGAGAAAGGGCTCTGGGAAGGAGGAGTTGGGGGTCTTTGTCCTCTGCCAGGCTGTCTGTGGCTGTCTTTGGCTGACTGGGGCTTGTTAGCCTAACATGTTGCTGGTCCGTCCTTGGAAGACGCTGTCCTAGTGTTTGGGTCTGTTACAGCAGAGTGCTGTAGGCTGGTTCATAAGCAGCAGGCATCTGTTTCTCAGAGTCTGGAGGCTGGGAGTCCTAGGCCCACGCCTTGGTTTGTTGTTGGCACCTCCTCAACCTGAAGCACCCATTTTGTGTGGAGTCTTTCATGACCACACAGCTTCTGCTCTCCCCTCTGGCGCACAGTTCTGGCTCCCTCTGTCTGCTGTGGGGGTAGGGTACAGGCTTTCCAGACTTTTACACTTCAAAAATCTCATATCACTGTCTATGTGCCAAACCCCTGAGACATAATAGGCTCTTGGAGGAGTTTTCTGCTCCTCTGCTGGGTGGTGTTGTGAATACTGTGTGCACAAACTGACCAAACACAGTCTAGGCTGACATCCAGTCTCTGGGAAGGCTGCTCCCTGTGCTGCAGGAGGGAAGGGTGCAGCTCTCTGCACTCAGAAGGGTTCCCTATAGGAGTCTGTCCGGGAGCTCTGTGCTACTTCTCCCTAGGCTGTTGGGGTGCATTGGAACTGGCTGCCCCAGTTGTGAGCCCTGATTGGGATTCTCCTGTGTCCTGGTCCATCTTAGCAGCATCTTTCTCAGTGCTAGCTCGGTGGGTAATTAGAAGGGAGAAGGGGAAGGGGTCAGGATGTGTTTCTGTTCTCTATGGCAGTGGTCAGTGAAGTCCTTTCCCTCCGTGGGAAAAAGTATGGGCTGCATACTCACCACAGAAGGGCTCTCAGCCTGAGGCTGGTGGCACAGGGAGGCTGGCTCTGGGCCTCATCTGTCATCTTTGCTCAGAGCTTCCTTTTCCTTGGTCAGAACAGGCAGTGCAGGTTATGGACCCCTGGGACAGAGGGATGCTGCTCTGGGCCTCTGTGTGCTGTATGCAGAGTGGCCCAGACTTCTACCAAGTGACTTGACCTGGTTGTCAAGACCTCCGGTGACTTGACTATGGGTGCTCCAGGTCCTGGAGATGCCTGCAGGGGTGGTTGTCACACATGCCGATGAGGACACTGGGAACAGAATGCTTCTTTTTTAAAGAATAAAATAGATGTATAAATGAATAAAATAGATGGGTGTCCATGTGATGATGGAGGTTTGAAAAAAAAAAAAAGAAAAAAGAAACCAACAACAACAAAAACACTGGTTCCAAATAAAATTCTTGACAGAAAAAGTTGCCTGTGTAATGTCAGTTGAGACATTTTCTTTTTGATGTCTGTTTTAAAATTTTTCTAGGAGGCATTTTTTTGAAGAGTTTGAACATAACTGGTCTGTTATATTCTGTTTTTAAAGCAGGGCCAAGATTTTCTTCTTCACTCACCACTGGGGGGCTCTCAGCCTGAGGCTGGTGGCACAGGGAGGCTGGCTCTGGGCACACAGACACTGCCCTCTACAGGGTTGGGCGCCACGCCCTCGGAGGCTGCCTGCTCCTGCGAAGCCTGCAGTGAGCGCAGGTATGTGCAGAGTGGGCCACACTGTCCAGGAGTGTGTTGGGCCAGAACAGGAATGTGGGCTCTTTTGATAAATAGTGACAAACTTTTGTGTTGATCCTGAGGAACACAGTGGTCTGGTTGTTAAGGGAAAGCACAAGATAAAAATTCCTGTCCTTGAAGGACTAACACTAGGAAACTAGTCCTCAGAAAGGTTGGGGCATAGTCACTAGATTTTAAGAGGAGCATCAATAGCCAGGCAGTGGTGGTGGGGAGGCTGGCATTGGTGGAGGGGAGGAGAGGCCAGGAGCATATCTGAAAGGGCTCTGCCCAGGGAAGAATCCAGCAGGTGGCAAAGGTGCAGAGACTCCACAGGGATCAGAACTGCTTGATGTGCACCTTGATGGAAGAGCTCTGGTAGACACCCCAACTCTTCTGGTTCCTGTATTGTGTCACAGAGAAATTTCGGCAGAGATGGATCGGGAACCTCAACAGCTGCAGAACTACTGGTCAGAAGTGCGCTACATGGTCCGCTGCATCTACCGCCAGGCGGGGACACCACTGGCAGACGACCAGGACCAGTCTCTGGTACCCGACAAGGAGGGAGTGAAGGAGCTCGTGGATAGGTACAAGTTGCCCCTTCTTGTCATGTCCTTGTGTAAATCCCTGCCCTCCCCAGCTTCCTATGGAGCCTCTGTGCCTGGGTGAGCTTTCACTTGGGTCCTGAGGAATGCTCAGCTGGGCTTGCCTGGTCAGGTCTTTAGCAGACAGCTGATCATAGTAAGCCCTCTGGGTAAAATGTTGCAAATTCTCCTGATTCCTAATGAGACATGAAATGTTTCTGTCAATTCTTTGTGTCAAAACTGACAAAAATACCTACCTGCCTGCCTGAGTCCCTGCTCTGCCAGGGAGATGCTAAGTACTTTCATAAGCACTCTTGCATTTATCATCCAGGGAGAAAGGCTGAGCTCTCTCCCACTTATTGAGGTGCCATGAGGCCAACAGCTCATGAAAGTGATTGCCCGCAGCATGTGGGTGCAGGGTACCTGGGGCCAGTCTTGGCTGTGCAGCTGCCTCATTCAGCTGGCCTTGAATCTGCTGTTCAGCACCTACCTTATGCCCAGTAACTTAAAGAAGGTGAGATGGGCATCACTTCTTTCTTGTTTGAAAGTGCCATCTTTTCCTGATTTTTGAAATGTTCCAAATAAAAAGCAATACATTTGAGCTAGACATTTCATGGGTCGTTTCTCATTTTTATTTCTTTCTCTCTTGCATTTTGAATGTATGCTTTAGGGTTCTTGTTGATTCATGTTTGCTGTCTAGCAGGTTTCATCCTGGAAGCAGGGTTAGTGAGTGGTGATGGTCGTGCTGACGTGTTCAGGGTTCCACATCTGAGCCACTGGTATCATGTGAGACGGTTCGGGAGGTGTGTGCCTTTTTTAGAAGTCAGGTTTCCTAGTGAGTATTAGGAAAAAATATGGAACCTTTATGTCAGATCCGTGTCTTCACAGATTGTTCATGCTGTACCTTTGATACCTTAGAGTAGCATCCTGCACACAGTATACTACAGTTTGTTGGGTGTATGTATGAGTGGATGAATGAATGGACTGTAGCGTCTTCACATATTCTGCCTCTTTTTTCACATAAATTTTAAGAACCTTTTGCAAAAAGTACCACATGGTTATTTCCTTAAATTTATAAAATGCAGAAATGGACGAGGAAATAAAGTGCGTCTAATCTGACCATGCTGGGAGAACTAAGAAGGAGATATCCAGTCTGCTTGTGAGTTTAGTTGTTCCTGTGTTATTTGAATCTTATGTGGCTTTGCTTTAATAAAGAAATACATTCTATTTCGGGGGGATAGTTTCTTATGCTCATAATTTAAATTAGAATTATCATGCTAAAAAATTAATTGGTCCGTTTGAAATATACCAACAATAGTGGGAGTCCTTTGAATTTGTGCAACTTTAACCACATTTTATACAAGGCTTTCTTTGTCTCTTGTCTTTTACAACCTAGGTAGTATGGGAATTTCAAAATGGAACAGGTGATATCTTATAATGTTCTCTTTTGACATAATGTGCTAAAAGGTGAAAGAATCTACTGCTGAATACATTTTACAACTCATTTCTAATAGGTGCTGAGCTCAGCTGGTTTCTCCTTTGACATATTACCGACAGTCAGTTTGATTCTTGCAACAGTGGTCCCAGGCTTCCATCTAGAGGCATCTCAAAAGTGCACAGTTAATAGAAGTGGCATCTTAATCACAGTGATGCCAGATACTGTAAACAAGTCTTAAAAGTGGGTTATCTCCATGTTTGAAAGGAGATTCATGACCATATTCGTTGCTGTTGTGGCTAGTGGTGGCCATGGATTTTCCCCTGCTCTTAACTTACTAACAGTATATTTCATACATATGTATTGCTTTATCTCCCCTTTCTCCCCCAGGGGTAGATGTTGATTGCAGGGTCTTGTGGACTATTATACACCCCAGCCTGCCCCCTTTTTCTTTAAGTATTTAAAAATTCTTAAGACAAAGTCTCACTAAGTTGTTGAGGCTGACCTTAAACTTGTGGTCTTCCTGCCTCACTGGGATTACAGGCTTGTGCCACCATACTTGGCTATTGCTTTTTTGTTGGGATAAGTTTTAAATAGGATAAACTCTCTAAATTTTCCTCTGATTTTAAAAATAGCAAACATTTTACTTATACCCTGAGTTTCTAGAAGGAAGGAAAATGCCCAGTCCTGTAGCCTGGTATCACCTTTGTTGGGTTAGGTGCCTCAGACCCACCTTTTGTTAATAATCGCAAGTTGATTTTGTTTCTGGGGCCAGCTCTGAAGCAGGTCATGTGCCCTGTCACCTGCTGGTTGTTGGAGTTCAGACACTGTCCCCAGCTTGGGTGACTTTGATGGTCTGGACAGTGGAGCATGAAGCAGAGCTCCTATGTGTGGGTTGGCCAAGTGAGTACAAGTGCATAAACAGTGCTAAGGAAATGTCAGTTTTTCTGTTTGTTCTTTGGCAACATTGTATCTGGGTTCTTCATTTGTTAAGACATGTGATGGTGCCTTTCATAGGTCCTGGTGAGGAAGAAGACCACTGCGGTTGACAGGTAGATACCTATGGAAAGGCTTTAGAAAAGATGCTCACTGATATGAAAACTGTTCCATCCTTGTCTGGTGTGGACAGGTGAGGGCTAAGTGTGACTCTCTCTGTGCAGGCTCTGTGAGCGGGACCCCTACCAGCTATACCAACGGTTGGAGCAGCAAGCCCGGGAGTATGTGCTAGAGATGAAGGTCCGCCTGCTTCGGCAGTTGTCAGCTGCAGCAAAGACAAAGGCGCCATCTGGCCTGCAGGGCCCACCTCAGGCACACCACTTCATTTCGCTTCTCCTCGAGGAGTATGGCGCTCTCTGCCAGGCCGCACGCTCCATCAGCACTTTCCTCAGCACTCTGGTAAGAGATGGCACCCCCTTTTCTGTGAGGTTGCTGAGAAGGTGAACTAAAGAGAAGAAGTATGTGGTGAAAAGAGGTGCCTGAGGCTGAGGGGCTGACTGCCACAGGCCACTGCACAAGGTCAGCAAGGGCTAGGATTAGGATTAGTCCTCTGACTTTGCCACTAAATAGAAGCATTGAGTGTATTGGTATCCTGGTGACAAAGCATGGAAGTACTATTTGGGGAGACCTGAGGCAAAGAAGCAAGTCATGGGGATATATGCTGCATGAGAACCAGCTGGGCATTAACAAGGAGATGAAGGAGAATCTTTAGTATTCTGGGTTGTTAATGCTGTTGTGACTGTCAACAGCTAGTGCTGTGTTTGATGGGTGTACTTGAGGGTGTGAGGGTTATAGAGAGCAGCCTGTGTGCAACAAGAACTTCCATTTTTCCACACACACACACACACACATATTGCCCTCAGCCGAGCACCCAGCAAGGACAGGCTTAGGAACTTGAGTAAGATGCCCACTCCTGCAGGGACCATACAGCCCTAGTAAAGGGCACAAGTGACCACCTCAGAAAGTAAATGCCATTGAATTGAAGGAGGCATGAAGTGGAAATGTGGTCACTGTGGCTCGAAGGAGACCGGGCTCCCCAGTGACCAGCCATGGCAGCTTCAGCCACTTACTGGTCATTCTGGAGTATCTTTCCTCAGCACTTTGATGATTAGGTGATACTTCAGCAAGCTAGTTTTGATGCTGCTTGGTGGTGAAACTACATTCTGAAATCATTGGTTCTCAAGATTTTAAGCAGTCTTTATCTGATTCTAAAGTTGATGAACCTTGCCAGAAAAACTCACCTACACAACACTTGGTAAGTCACTGCCAGAGTTGTAGACCTCTCTCAGCTCCCCTGCATCTTACCACTGCTATACTTGTAAGGACTGCCTGGTGGAGACGTCTGTTGTCACTGGAGCTGGCCAGGTGAATATGGCAGGAGGGGCATAGTAATCCTGCCTCCACACCTAAGGGCTCCAAGGACAGCCTGCCTGCTTCTCCCACCTTCACTTAGAGAGCCTGCTTGTCCTTCAGAGGTTCAGTTCCAGACCTGGCGCCTCTGAGGAGCACCTTGCACCTTCCCCTATCTTCTGAGAGAATGTTGACACAGGTTAAGATACTGTCCTTCTTGCCTAAGCCTGGTGCAGACTCTCTGAGAGAGCATGCTCTCCAGAAAGTGCTGCCAGCATCCTGGCCTTCCTTGGGTAGTCAAAGTAGAATAGTGTTGTGTGAAACCAACAAAAATTAATTTGAACCAGAGCTCTATTTTATTTTTTCTCTATATATGAGATACAGCATATAGTATACCCTGAACCATTCCTCTCAAGAGAAACAGGTGCATTTAGTGGTTAATAGAAAATATAAAAGTTTCTTTAAAGACATAGGACTAAGATGTCATGAGATGTCAAGAGAGTTGTAGTGGTAAAAAAAAATCAGTTGAAACCTGGATTCCTGAGAAATACATGTGCTTAGATGTCAACGTTTGCTCTATGGTTTTCCTTTCATCCTGAGAAAGATACAGCATCAGTCTTTCCCAGGATGGGAGTAGCTAATAATAATAATAAGGGCAGGCTTTCCATCATTACAACCTCAGTGAGAGGGTGAAAGACAAACTCCAGGGACTGGAAGGGATGCAAGAATGTTTCCATCATGACCTTGGAGTGGATATGGCAGAGAAGTACCATCTCCCAGAGAATTTTTAACTAAAAACCATTACACATTTAGGTTTATTTTTATTTTTATTTTTTTATTTTTTTTTT